TTTGGGCTCAGTTTCAGGGATTTGGGCTCAGTTTTGGGATTTTGGGCTCAGTTTCGGGGATTTTGGGCTCAGTTTCGGGGATTTTGGGCTCAGTTTCAGGGATTTGGGCTCAGTTTCGGGGATTTGGGCTCAGTTTCGGGGATTTTGGGCTCAGTTTCGGGGATTTGGGCTCAGTTTTGGGGATTTGGGCTCAGTTTCGGGGATTTTGGGCTCAGTTTCGGGGATTTGGGCTCAGTTTTGGGATTTTGGGCTCAGTTTTGGGGATTTTGGGCTCAGTTTCGGGGATTTGGGCTCAGTTTCGGGGATTTTGGGCTCAGTTTCAGGGATTTGGGCTCAGTTTCGGGGATTTGGGCTCAGTTTTGGGGATTTTGGGCTCAGTTGCGGGAATTTGGGCTCAGTTTCGGGGATTTTGGGCTCAGTTTTGGGATTTTGGGCTCAGTTTCAGGGATTTTGGGCTCAGTTTCGGGGATTTTGGGCTCAGTTTCAGGGATTTTGGGCTCAGTTTCTGGGATTTGGGCTCAGTTTGGGGATTTTGGGCTCAGTTTCGGGGATTTTGGGCTCAGTTTCAGGGATTTGGGCTCAGTTTTGGGGATTTTGGGCTCAGTTTTGGGGATTTGGGCTCAGTTTCGGGGATTTTGGGCTCAGTTTCTGGGATTTGGGCTCAGTTTCAGGGATTTTGGGCTCAGTTTGGGGATTTTGGGCTCAGTTTCAGGGATTTGGGCTCAGTTTCAGGGATTTGGGCTCAGTTTCAGGGATTTTGGGCTCAGTTTGGGGATTTTGGGCTCAGTTTCAGGGATTTGGGCTCAGTTTTGGGGATTTGGGCTCAGTTTCGGGGATTTTGGGCTCAGTTTTGGGGATTTTGGGCTCAGTTTCAGGGATTTTGGGCTCAGTTTTGGGGATTTTGGGCTCAGTTTCAGGGATTTTGGGCTCAGTTTCAGGGATTTGGGCTCAGTTTCAGGGATTTGGGCTCAGTTTCGGGGATTTTGGGCTCAGTTTTGGGGATTTTGGGTTCAGTTTTGGGATTTTGGGCTCAGTTTCAGGCTCGGTCTCAGGTGTTTCCCCTCCCCCCACAGCTCCCTGGGCCGTGTCGGCCACTGAGCTTGCCCAGCCCCTCCCCCCTCCGGCCACTGACCCCCAACTCCGGCCACTGACCCCAACTCCGGCCACTGACCCCTCATGGCCACTGACCCCTCATGGCCACTGACCCCTCATGGCCACTGACCCCAACTCCGGCCACTGACCCCAACTCCGGCCACTGACCCCAACTCCGGCCACTGACCCCTCATGGCCACTGACCCCCCATGGCCACTGACCCCCAACTCCGGCCACTGACCCCCAACTCCGGCCACTGACCCCAACTCCGGCCACTGACCCNCAGGTGGGGGTTTATAGTTGATATCTTATATTTGAGATATTTTATTTGATATTGCATAGTTTGTATTTGATATTGTATGGAGTGTATTTGATATTGTACAGGTTATATTTTATAGTTTGTGTTTTATAGTTTATAGTTTATATTTCAACTTTCGGCCTCTGCTGGCCCGTCCCCCAGGTGGGGGTTTACAGTTTCTATTTGATATTTTATTTTTAAATCTTATTTTCTATTTTCTAGTTTATGTTTTCTATTGTATAATTTATAGTTTGTATTTTATAGTTTGTATTTCATCTCTCGGCCTCTGCCGGCCCATCCACAGGTGGGCACCAAGGGAGGGGTTTGGGTTATAATTTAGAGTTTTACTTCATTTTATTTAATTTTATTTTTTTATTTTATTTTATTGTTATTTGTTAGTGTAAATGGAGTTCAGGGACTCAAACTCCAAGAATTCAATGAAATTCTTCCTTTTCAGGTGAACAATTTTGTCATTTTTGAGGGATTTTTCTCCACCAGAACAGGTGAGTTTGGGGTGGAGGCAGCTGTTCTCTGGCTTTGGGGGGATTTTGGAAATTTTGGGGGCATTTTTGGGGATTTTGGGGGGAATTTGGCAGATTTTGGGGAGATTTCCGGGGATTTTAGAAATTTTGGGGGCATTTTTGGGGATTTTGGGGGGAATTTGGCAGATTTTGGGGAGATTTCTGGGGATTTTAGAAATTTTGGGGACATTTTTGGGGATTTTGGGGGGAATTTGGCAGATTTTGGGGGGAATTTTTGGGATATTTTGGGCTGAATTTTGGGTGGATTTTGGCTGAATTTGGGGTGAATTTGGGTGAAGTTGGGTGGGTTTGGGTGAAGTTGGGTGGATTTTGCAGAATTTGGGGTGGGTTTTGGTGGATTTGGGGTGGGTTTGTGGTTGATTTTGGGTGGGTTTGGGTGAATTTGGGTGAATTTGATTGAATTTGGGTGCGTTTGGTTGGGTTTTGGGTGAATTTGGGGTGGATTTTGGGTGGGTTTGCGTGGGATTGGGTGGATTTGGATGGATTTCGGGTGGGTTTGGATGGATTTGGGGTGGATTTGGATGGATTTCGGGTGGGTTTGGGTGGATTTTGAGTGAATTAGGGGTGGATTTGGGGTGGATTTGGGGTGGATTTGGATGAATTTGGGGTGGATTTTGGGTGGATTTGGGGTGAATTAGGGGTGGATTTGGGGTGAATTTGGGTGGATTTGGGTGGGGTTTGGGTGGGTTTGGGTTGATTTTGGGTGGATTTTGGGTGGGTTTGGGTGGATTTGGGGTGAATTAGGGGTGGATTTGGGGTGGGTTTGGGTGGATTTGGATGGATTTGGGGTGGGTTTGGATGGATTTCGGGTGGGTTTGGATGGATTTTGAGTGAATTAGGGGTGGATTTGGGGTGGATTTCGGGTGGGTTTGGATGGATTTCGGGTGGGTTTGGATGGATTTTGGGTGGATTTCGGGCGGGTTTGGATGGATTTCGGGTGGGTTTGGATGGATTTCGGGTGGATTTGGATGGATTTGGGGTGGATTTGGGTGAATCTGGGCGATTTCGGGCGCATTCTGTGCCGCAGCCCCCGCCCGGCGCCCGTTCCCGCGGCCGCGCCCCGAGGAGCCGATCAAACCGTACTCGCTGAGCGAGCGCCACTGTGAGCGCGGGCCAGGCGGGCCGGGCGGGGCCGGGCGGGGCCGGGGCGTGGGCAGGGGAGTGGGCAGGGGAGTGGGCAGTGGGTGCGGTCAGTGGGTGTGGGCAGTGGGTGTGATCAGTGGGTGTGATCAGTGGGTGTGGTCAGTGGGTGTGGGCAGTGGGTGTGGGCAGGGGCGTGGGCAGGGGTGTGGTCAGTGGGCGTGGTCAGTGGGTGTGGTCAGTGGGTGTGGGCAGTGGGTGCGGTCAGTGGGCGTGGGCAGGGGTGTGGTCAGTGGGCGTGGTCAGTGGGCGTGGTCAGTGGGTGTGGGCAGTGGGTGTGGGCAGGGGCATGGGCAGTGGGTGTGGTCAGTGGGCGTGGTCAGTGGGTGTGATCAGTGGGCGTGTCCCTGGGCGTGGTCAGTGGGTGCGGTCAGTGGGTGTGGTCAGTGGGCGTGTCCCTGGGCGTGGTCAATGGGTGCGGTCAGTGGGCGTGTCCCTGGGTGCGGTCAGTGGGTGCGGTCAGTGGGTGTGGTCAGTGGGTGCGGTCTGGGTGTGGTCAGTGGGCATGGTCAGTTGTGTGGTCAGTGGGCGTGTCCCTGGGTGTGGTCAGTGGGTGTGATCAGTGGGCGTGGTCAGTGGGCGTGGTCAGTTGTGTGGTCAGTTGTGTGGTCAGTGGGTGTGGTCATTGGGTGTGGTCAGTTGTGTGATCAGGTGTGTGGTCAGTGGGCGTGTCCCTGGGTGCGGTCAGTGGGTGCAGTCAGTGGGCGTGGTCAGTGGGTGTGGTCAGTGGGCGTGGTCAGTGGGCGTGGTCAGTGGGTGCGGTCAGTGGGCGTGTCCCTGGGTGTGGTCAGTTGTGTGGTCAGTGGGTGTGGTCAGTTGTGTGGTCAGTGGGCGTGGCCCCGGGTGTGGTCAGTGGGCGTGGCCCCGGGTGTGGTCAGTTGTGTGGTCAGTGGGCGTGGTCAGGTGTGTGGTCAGTGGGCGTGGTCAGTGGGCGTGGTCAGTGGGTGTGGTCAGTGGGCGTGGTCAGTGGGGCGGTCAGTGGGCGTGGTCAGTGGGCGTGGTCAGTGGGCGTGGTCAGTGGGTGTGGGCAGTGGGTGTGGGCAGTGGGTGTGGTCAGTGGGTGCGGTCAGTGGGTGTGGTCAGTGGGTGTGGGCAGTGGGTGTGGGCAGTGGGTGTGATCAGTGGGTGTGGGCAGTGGGTGTGGACAGTGGGTGTGGTCAGTGGGTGTGGGCAGTGGGTGTGTCCCTGGGTGTGGTCAGTGGGTGCGGTCAGTGGGTGTGGGCAGTGGGTGTGGTCAGTGGGTGTGGTCAGTGGGTGTGGTCAGTGGGCGTGGTCAGTTGTGTGGTCAGTGGGTGTGGTCAGTGGGCGTGGCCCCGGCCCCGGCCCCGCCCCGGCTGACGCGCCGCCCGCAGTCCTGCACGAGGAGCCGGAGCCGCCGTGGCCGTTGGGCGCGGCGCGGCGCTCCCCGGTGCGCGGCAGCCTCCGGCCCTTCCTGCCCCGCCGCCGCGGCACCCCCGAGCCGCCGCCGCAGCCCGAGCCGCCGCCGCGCCGCGCCAGGTACGCCGGGGCTGGGG